TGTGGATGCCCCATCCCTGCAGGCATTCAAGGCCAGGCTGGATGTGGCTCTGGGCAGCCTGGGCTGCTGGTTGGTGACCTGCACACAGCAGGGGGTTGGAGCTGGATGAGCACTGTGCTCCTTTGCAACCCAGGCCATTCTAGGACTCCACTGTCTTCTGCTTCTACATGTGTGACCTACAGCCTTGCACATGCCAGAGGGAGTAGCACCACTTCCCAGAAGCACCTGATTTTATTACTCCATAACAAGCATCCAACACGCAGATATCTGATGCTCCAAATGGCTTTGTTTCACATAGCTTTTTGCTTCCTGTGTTTGAGATTTCTGCTCTCCAGTTTGATATCAATATTGTGATGCTGTGAACAAAGCCTATAGCTGAATACAAATCTGCATGCTGAGGAAGTCAGAAGTACTCCAAGGAATATGATAGTCACACAGACTGTTTTCTTTCTTACCATAAATGAAGCAGAATCTCTGCTCTACTCAACCACAAACAAACTTTCATTAAGAAAACAAAAAACTCAAGTCCATCAATGAAGTCTAATGCACATTTTAAAATAAGGTCCCAAAGCAGACCCAGAATTACCTAAGCAGCTCCAATAATGCATCTACGCCACACAGCATGGAAAGTTACAGAATCACTACAAGCCTTAGGTTTGTATCAAACAGCAAATCCACATAAGCACAAGGTAATTCTCCAGCAGGATGCCACAGCCAGGATGACCCTCCCTGCCTTCAGCCCATAAGCAGAAGCAAACAGATGCCAAGGACAAGCACAGATGCTACACTGCTTCTGCCTTCAGCAGCATTACTGGCACACTGCACCAGCCCCCCTTGCTGTGCAGTTGAAGGAGATGAACAAAAGAGTTCCAAAAAAGCCAAACAGATAATTTAACTGGAAACGTGCTTAAACATAGGAAATACTTAGAGAACTTTATTTAGCTTATCAAGAAGGTAGTGATTAAGAGGAACTTGGAGCAGTCAGAAATAGCCTGTATGAGAAACAAGGGTCTAAAAATGAAAGTCTCCCAGATTAACACAAAGAAACGTGCTTCAAATCTGAATTGCTAATAGTATAGAGTGATCCATCAATGAGGACAGCTTCCCAAAAGTCAAGGCAGAATCTATCACTGTAAACATGGAGCAGAATTTTATATATATATATTTTTTAATTTCTTCAAGCACAACTACAGCATGTCTGTTCAGAAGGGGGTCCAGTGGTCCTCATTAACCTGGCAGCAAGGTGCTGTTGCTGGGTAGTTGGACTGGATGACCTTCAGGAGACCCTTCCAACTCAAAGGATTCTATGCTGAATTGCTTCTCTAACATCAGGGCCAAAATCCTTCTGTTGCTAGAGGTCTCTGCCTCTAAGACACGCTTCCCTGGTATTCCTGTGTCAGCTTACACCATCTTTTCAAGGCCATGCTGGATGGGGCTGTGAGCAACCAGGTCCAGAGAGAGGTGACCCTGCCTATAGCAGGGGGCTGGAACTGGATGATTTTAAAGGTTCCTTCCAACCCAAACCACCCTATGATTCTATGATCTTACCATCTGAAAACAGCACACTGACACCACTAAATAGTGGATAAGTCTGCAGAGATGCAATCCCCTCAAGGGGATGGTTTGGTTTTCTATAGCACAGCTCTGACCACATACAGCTCTATACGAGCAGCTACCAGACCAGCCAACCAGCTCATTAAACACCCCGATGCTCTACTGAGGTGCTTGCTACTGCATTCAGCTTCTCCTTCACAACTCCCTCCAGTCCCATGTTCCACAAAGCATTTAATGGAACACTGCTCTGAAGGGACTTCAAATAAAGGCTTTAAAAAAAAAATAATAATAAAAATGACTGCGGATGCTTCCACTTCATCAAAAAGTCCACAGCCTTCTGTGAACAGATGATGTTAGGAGCAGATGTACACAACCAGATGATCTCTTCTTTACCAGCCATCTTGACCTGTCTGGCTTGATTTATATAAACTGCTTTTGCTCACTACAGCACAGATTATGTAAATCTCAAGAAACCCTTCACCAAACAAGAACTGCCACACCACTTGCAGACGAGCAGCCACACTGTCTGCAGAACACAGCAGCACATCCTGGTGGGAGAACCACCTCCTGCCAAGGGAACACATTCCCCTTGACGTTAACACCAGGAACAGAAGAACCCCATGAATACTGCTAAGGCAGAGCAAGAACAAAAGAATCACAGAATCACTACAGAATGGCCAAGGTTGGTAGAGACCTCAAAGATCATGAGGCCCACCAACCTCCACATTTCATAGCAGCCCAGGCTGCCCAGAGCCCCATCCAACCTGGCCTTGAACACCTCCAGGGATGGACGGGGCATCACAGCCTCTCTGGGCAGCCGTTCCAGCACCTCACCACTCTCACAGCACACAACTTCCCCCTGACATCCAACCTCAATCTGCCCTCCTTCAACTTCAAACCATTTCCCCTTGTCCTGCTGTTATCTACCCTTTCAAAGAGTTGATTCCCCTCCTGTCTGTAGGCTCCCTTTAGGCACTGAAAGGCAATGAGGTCACCCCGCAGCCTTCTTTTCTCCATGCTGAACAAGCCCAGCTCCCTCAGCTTGTCTTTGTAGTGGAGGTGCTGCAGTCCCCTGATCATCCCTGTGGCTCTCCTCCAGATGCTCTCCAACAGCTCCCTGTCTTTCTTGTATTGGGTGCCCCAGACCTGGACACAGCATTCCAGATAGGGCATCACGAGGGCAGAGTAGAAGGGGACAATTGTCTCCCTGCCCAAAAGACGGAAGTTTTACCATATCAAAAAGAGAGGTCTCGGCAGCTCACCAGGTAGGCCAGCTCCTTTGTTCATCATCATTCTCCCCATCTAATTTACAAGTCTCACAGCTCCAGACGGGTTACGACGCTGATGAATGACTTCTAATGTCATTTTTTTTCCCCCTTCTTTTTTTAAAGCTACGTGGTATCCCAAAACAACTTTTTAAAATTAGCTGTGAGGTCATTCTAACCGTTTAAATCAAGCGGGTATGACAAGAGCTGCAGTGCCAGGCTTCTGCATTTTACAGATCTCCGTTTCACTTCGAAGAGAGCAGATTTACGCCTTCTTAATTACACCGAACTCCAGACTGTGTGCTTTTAATACCAGGCAGGTATTAATACATGTATTTTTAACGCTGCCCAACAGATGCTTGCTATGTTCTGAGAATTTCTAGTTGCAAACACTGAGTCACCAAAGAAGAAAACAGAGTAAGTTTGCGTTACCCAGGCTGGACGTGGCTCTGGGCAGCCTGGTTGATGACCCTGCACATAGCAGGGGGTTGAAACTCAACGATCACTGTAATCCTTTTCAACCCAGGCCATTCTATCATTACTTACAGGTTAAAACACCTCACGGGAAAGGTAGCAATCGGCTTTAACGGCGTTAAACTGCTCTTCATACACCGAAAACGTAATTAGCGAAGTCACCGCATTGCCCCCCGCCTGTCACGCCTCCATCACAACGCGTTTGGCGGAGGGGAACGGCGGCACTCCGCATCCGCGCTGCCCACAAAGGCACCGAGCGCACAGCTCAGCCCGCAGCCAGCCGCTTCGCACTACAAGGACGAGATGCACGTTTTCGGCAGCAGCCGGCTCTCAAATCCAAAACCCACACCGCACGAAGTTTATTTCATCTTCTCGGCGTTCCAACGCGCGGCGGGGAGGAGCGGGACCTCGGGCAGAAGCGATAAACGGAGATCGGTGCGTTTCCACACGTTAAGATCACAGCCAAAACATCCCGTACTTCTGTTACTTTCAGCCGCAGCTGAAAACAGCGAAGCAACGGAGAGGAAAACGCTTCCAGCTGCGCACAAAAAGCCTCCGCGGCACAACAGCAGCCCCGATGTAATTAAAGACCCGAGGTGACACGGCGTTGCACCGCACCATTGTTAGCGGCGGGGCCGCGCAGCCCGGCTTACCCTCCATTTTCACGAGGGAAGCAGCTCGCACGGCTCTTCCCGAGACTGAGTCGGACGCTTCGCCCTAATGGAGTTACTTCCACTGAAGCCTCTGAGCCCCTTCCCCCTCCCCGCTCTCCTCCTCCTCCCCTCCCCATCAGGACGGCCCGACCGCAGCGCTCACCCCAGCACCACCAGCTCCCCGTACTTGACGGGCTCCTTGTTCGGGGCGCAGTGTTCCTCCTGGCTGGGGGAAAACATCGGGGCGACCGCCGCCGAGATCACCCAGCGTCGCGCTCAGCTCCCGAGCGGGTTCCGCGCTGCGCCCCGCACTGAGCCGGCGGTCGCCCGACCGCGGACACTACACTCCGAGGGTCGTACCAAGTGCTGGCGGCGGGGGGGTGGGTAGGAGGAGCCAAGCGGCGCCCTCGCGCCCCGCTCTCGTTCACCGCCGGCGGAGGGGGCGCCCCCGGCCAGCACCGCCCCTTCGCCTCGCCGCGCCGCGCCGCGCCGCGCCCCCCCCCTCCTCCGGCCGCGAGTGGTACGGCCCGGCTCTGTTATGTAAACATAGAGTAAAGGGGACGGGGCCGCTCTTAAAGGGGCCGCGCTGAGAGTTAGCGGGGGCGGGGCTGCGTGGGGAGGTGGGACCGCGTCTCTAAGTGGGGGGTGTCCAGAGTCAGCGTGGCGTGGAAGGAGCTAGTTTGGAGCTCAGGTGGCAGTAAACCCAGACTTTCTGTGGGGTCACACCCAGCACTGCTCACACCTCAGCTGCACCCATCGCGGCCTTCCTTCTATTCCCTCCAAACCCAGCAGGAATCAGCCCCCAAATGGTATTCGCTCAGCCAGGCTCGAGCTCTCTGCTCCAGGAGCAAGGAAAAGTCATGGTGGTCTTCACCCAGAATCTTCCCTGAGCACAGAGCAGGAGTGGGCCCAGTTTCTCCTGCCCAGAGCTTTCCCATGGCTGAAATCACATTTAGCTATTAATTTTCACAGCAATGCTATTTTTCTGCCATCCCTGGTGAAGAGGTGAAATGGAAAAAGCCAGCCAATCTCACAGGGCTGCGGAATGGAGATCTTCCCAGGGGCTGTGCGAAGAAGACAAGGTTTTATTAAAGACAGAGAGCTGAATTATTGCGGATTTATCTTCTTTATTGCCCTAACAAAATAGAAAAGAAAGCTGAGCTGTAAGTCACTGTCGAAGAAAACAAATACAGCCTGGAAAACAGTGAGGAAAACAAACCTCCTGGCTGCATCCTCTTTAAGTTCTCCCCCTTCTCCCCCTGAACACAAGTCCTTCGCTTTGCTTTTGCACGGCATAAACAAACTTAAATTGTCTTCCAAGAGGCACTCCGACAGTTCTTAGCTCAGGTTTCCTGTAAGCCCCAAAGCCCTGGATCAGGTTGGGTTTATGGCATTTTCTGCTTCCCAACAACTGCCTTGTGGGAATTGAGGAAGGACCTTGAAGGTCTGGTTTAGTCTGTGTTCTTTCTTGTTTTCTAGCACCTTTTGAAGACTTTATTACCGAAGCACTGGTTTTCTCCCTGCATCTCCCAAGGACCTACTGCTCCCAGCACTAAAAACCTGCTTTTAATTTGCTGGTGAGAGCAATGAAGCAGAGATGGAGCAAGGAGCTGCCCCATGGCTCCACATCCCCCACAGTCACAGCCACAGCACTGATGCTTCCTACAGCCCCAAACATTCCTCTTTGCAGCGGGAACGGAAAAAAAAGGAGCTGCATTTCTCCCCAGATCTATTGAAATAATGGAGAAATGTATCTACAGCCACGTTTGCACAGGGAGGTGGTGGAGTCATCGTCCCTAGAGGTGTTCAAGTGCCATAGAAATGTGGCACTGGGGAACATGGTCTGTGGGCATGGTGGGGGTCAGCTGGGGTTGGGGATCTTGGAGGTCTTGTCCAACCTTAGTGATTCTATTATGTTTAAGTTGAATATATCTCATTCTCTCGCCTTCAGAATGTCTCCACGTGGCAGCTTTTTTGGGGAGCATCCTCCAGTTTTATTACAGCAGCTTTCTGGCTAAGGTGCATCTTTCAGCAGGAACATCCAGCAAAGCCAGGAAGGCATTAAAATCAGTGTCCGAAGAAGAATCCCAAACACGAAGAAATAGTGCATACCCATTTGTTTTTAAAATGTAATAAAAAAAAAATATTTTAAATACAGGAAGATTAATAAGGCTGTAATTCAGCAAAGTGCTTGCAGATGTGCTGGGCTCAGAGTAAGTGCTTCAGAGCTTTCATGATTCGGGGCTTAGGGACTAAGCTTGAAATGTAGAAAAAGTACTGAAAGACATAATTTGCTGTCGTACCTGTGGCTTGTGTTGCACACGAAGCTGACAGGACACACATCAGGTCTGGTGATATACTGGTGCGCAGGTTTCCATTGCATTCCTGTGCAACACCATGCTGTGTAATGGTCCTTGATTCACAGAAACACCAAGAATTTAGAAAGGGAAATGACATGAGGAAAAAAGTGGAAGAGTGAAAAGCATGACACGATTTCAAGTCTCGCAGCAGCAGCTTAAGAATGAGTTACAGGCTTGGGATTAACACAGAGCAGTCCTCGCTAAAGGCCCTACCAGGTTTTAACAAAGCAAGGTAGCGAAGCAGCAGAGTTGAAAAAGCAGCTATCAAATAACTGTATCTAAGCAGGGAAAAGAGAATAAAGCATAAGCAGCATCGAATACAAAACCACAACAAGAAAAGCTGAAAGGATATTACAGAAATGCTTGCCAAAGGCAAAGGATTTTAAAGAGATTCAGATATGACAACATTGAACAAGTCAATATGGATTCATAGGGATGCATCTGATGAGCCTGATACACTGGGGAGAAAGCAACAGCATCTTTTGCAGACAGAAGACAGTTTATAGCATGTTCACACCCTCTGAAGCAGCCAATGAACATGATCACATATCAGGATTTCATCTGAATTTTGCCACATAAAAGCTCTGAAAGAAATAAAAGTAGTGTGAAAAAGGAACAGAGTATGTCATGGCTTAGCAGCTGGCTGCAAGAGAATTGGGAGGCTTGAAGTTCTTCTTTTTGTGGTGAGGAGAGGTCACTGCTGGGACATCGTGGTGCTCTGGGGGACCTTGGCCAGGCAGCTCGCTGGTAATGGAAAACTTTGCTGAGAAGCCAAAAATTTTAAGCTGACTGCAAAGAGTCAGCAGAAGACCTAGCAAGAAAATGTCCAACTAAAGTACATAGAGAAGATGACCTTAGCCATATCTACCTAATGACTGGCTCTAATTGAGCTATTATCATTCAGGAAAGACATCCTGAGACTTTACAGTCACTATAGGTCCTTCTCTTGTAGTGTTAGCCCAGAGATCAACAGAAGTCTAAAAGGTGAATGAAATGTGCAAAGGAGCCCTTGTACTTAAAACGTGTCTCTTCTTCCAATGTCACGGGTACTCCTAGGAAAACCTGTTCTGTCTCTGGATGGATGGTCATCATCCTTCTCTGTGGGGTAAAGCCAAGGGCATTGCTCTGTTCTGTGCTCACCAGCTCTCCCATCTCTCCTTCAGTGAACAGGGACACCTCCAGCTCCATCAGGTGCTCAGAGCCCCATCCAGCCTGACCTTGGGTGTCTGCAGGGATGGAGCACCACCACTCTCCCAGCAATGATGCTCCACACTCAGGGAGGCCGGAGGAGCAGCCATGTCCACATCTATGGAGCTACGTTCAACCAGCCCATAAATCAAATGGACCTCACCCAATGGACGTGAGGAGAATCCCAAATCAGTGCAGGACGTAAAGCTGGGATGCAATGGGAACTCTGTTGTCTCATAGCAGCAAACCTCAGACCCAAACCTTGCTCATTTTGCAGCCACTTAGGGATTTCACCCATCAGCAATGCAAGAACACCCACAGAGCCACTTAAAACTGAAGACCATTTTCACATATTTCTGCTACAGAGAATGAAATGCGATTTAGAAATTACTGCATATTAAAAAGGAGCGGTCCCCCAGCTGCTGTTCCCACTTCAGATATCCAGCTGCAGATATCCAGCATCCTGCAAAGCTCCAGCACAATCTCACGAGTGTCACTCTGCAGCAGGGTGCAGCTCCCACACCCTTCTTTCCCTGCATAGTTTTGTCATGCTGCTACGTGCACTTGGTCTTAGAGGAAAAGGGAAACAGCATTTGGCTGAGAACAGTAGGATCTATGGCTAATAACTACTCAGGAGTTCAGATTTCCCTGGCAGTAAGAACTCACAGTTAATGTTTTCTCCCCTCGTTAAGGGAAAGAGAGCTGGGTCGGAGCTGGGTATGTTAAAAGCAGCATTTGGTCTGCAAAGTATATACATCAGTAAGGTCTTATAACTACCTCCTAGCATCTGATATTCTTTTCATTACTGTCATTCAGTAAGCGAGCACATTGCCAGGTCTCCAGGCTGCCTTCAGCCTAGTTAGGGCTGACCTTGGCAAAAGGCTGGAAACCCCAAAACCTTGACATCCCAGCATGAGAAAAAAAAAAAAAAAGAAAAAAGAAAAAAAACAAAAAAAAAACCAAACAAAACTCCACCGAAACCAAACAACAGGCGGGCACAGATGTCAGGAAGATGCAGCAAAAGGAACAATGTCCTGCAACATCCTGTTGGGTCGATGTGCGAGTGCAACCCCCAGCACTGCCTTCCTCCCAGCCGTGAGAAGCCTGTGTGCTTGTGGATGCTCTCCTCTCCCACGCCTGCACGCTGTGGGCAATTATGAAGTCGTTAGCTCTGTAAGCTGAAAGGATCGCTGTTGTCAGGATCGGCTGAGACGCCGGTTGACTTGTCGTTATTATGGGCACTTTAGCAGATGGATGGCCAAAACTGTGTTTGCAGCAATGAGGTAATGACTGAGAAATGCAATTCTGGTAGCCCCCTGATTGCTGCTGGCTTTCACTGGCGTCATTAGGAGATGAAGATGCTTCGTACCTCAGCACACAATGCCTCCCTTTAACAAAGCAGCTGAGTTATTTCAGGAAAGGGTGAGAATTCCTCACCTTTGGGTCTGCAGAGTAGCACAGTTGCCAGTCAGATTAAGCTGGGGAAGATGTTGTACAAGAACTACGGAAGAAGCTCTGAAAAGACCACAAAACTTTCTTTTTTTTTTTTCTTTCTGTCATTAAGGGACACAAAATAGGTGAAAAGAGGCTTTGAGTGGAAAGAAAATCAACATGGATTCAATTAGTCATATACAGCATACATTCAACCAAAGAAACCAAAAATATGTTATTGAAGGAAGAACAGGCAACCACTTGGCTAGCTTAGTGGGCATGATGGTGATAGGTTGATGGCTGCACGAGGTGATC